ACATATCCACACTCCCAAAAGTGAAGCGAGCGATATTCGGATCCCAATGCCCTATCATGGCTTAGAAGCACGAGATCCGAACCTTAATATTAAGTAGCCGAGTTATATCACCATACCTCTTTTGAAAGTCAAACCTATCGATAGAAGTAAGCATTTCCCAACAACTAAGAAGTGGTCCTATATTGAGTAGCTTGTCGATGAGTTTTTCTTTCTCGGGCGGTTTCGACACAAAGCCCGGGCGGACAATCTCCCTCATCAATTTGTGCTCGCTCCGATCCGACCCTAAAATCCTCAATGTCATTTCTAATTTCTTCGATCATGATTTAATATGAAGGACCACCTACAAGAACTAATGGTTAGTATTTACATCATTTGAAAATGATTCGTGTCTTAATCGAGTCAACCCTAGTGGATAGGATCTAGCTCGTATATAGTTTAGCAAAGCTAGTCTAATCCTAAGTCTTTTCAAGCTCCCGAACTGTCTAAATTACCAGTGGAGTAATCCAGCCTCCGACCTTATATGTTAGTAGGTAAGGGAAGATTATTCTACCATTTTCTATGCATAGGGTGAGTTCTAGTCCAAACAAGAGTTTAGAAGAGCATCGGTAGACTTTCGTCATACTCGCCTCTAAATCTCTCTATCTAAATCATAACGAGGTTCGACTCGGGTCCGGAGCTTTTGTAGGTTTCATTCGTGGCATGTGTGCAACAATTCAAAAAAGCATATAACCCGAGTTCAAAATGCATTAAGTATGTACAAAATTAAAAAAAATGAATTGCAAAAATTTAAAGACAATAAAATAATACAAGAAAATAAATGACTTGAAAAATAAAGGAGACATAAAAAATAAATGGCAAAAGCAAATAAAGAAAATAAATTTGCAAGGACTAAACTTATGGCCCGATATATCTCCCCGGTAGAGTCGCCATTCGTCGCTACCCGACGTCGGATGGGACTCCAAAAAAAAAATGATTGTATCACTAGTTTTAGATTTTTATTTTATTTACAAAACTATTTGCGAGTTTGGAGTCGCCACCTAGTATTAAAGGAACTAGGAACCTAAAATTGGCACCGGTTTAGAGATTATATGGTAAGGAGTCGGTTACGCTTATGAGAAGATAATTAATAACCCAAAAATGCCATTTCCTAAGAAAAGTACCACGTCTAGCTTAGTCCTAAATTACCTCTTAAAGTATTTCATTTTTGCCACATTATTTTTTTTAATTTTTGAGACTCTAATTTTTTTCAAGTCAAATTAAGTTTTTTATTTTTGAGCGTGGCATCGTATTGAAACGATCGTCGGACTCCTTCGTCGGGAGACACGTCGGTTAAAACATCGGATCCATTTTTAGTCTCGACACAACCGGTGTGCCAAAGAACACTTGTTTATTAAAATAAAAAAAATGGCTAACAACAGTTCCTATCGGATAGACGACTTTGTTAAAAAATTTTATGGTTTTTTTTTATTTTTTATGTTTTTATTTTATATATATATATATATATATATATATATATATATATATATATATATATATATTTTTGCATAAATACTATTTATTTATTTTTTTAAGTGAAAGATTGTCATCGATCCTATAAACTTTTTTTATGAGACTTGACGATCTTCTACTTATTACTTACTAAGCCTAATCGTAAACAAATAAATTAAAGCTACACGAATTAAAATTAAAAAAAATTCAAATACTGAAATTTAAATTAATAATAGGTATGCATAAAATAAATTCAAGGGTAAATTCAAACAATTACAAAATATTAAAATGACAAATTCTAACTAACATGCATAAATAAACCTAAAATTAAATTTACATTAAAAATAAATAAATACCATTTAACATCTAAATAAAAAATGGAATAACATGCATAACATTAAAATGTAAAATTTATTACACATATTTTTTGTTGTTTTTCTTTCTTTATCTTTTTTTCATTTTTTATTTTTTTTTAAGTGAAAGATTGTCATCGATCCCTAAAAATTTAGGAGACTTGACGAGTCTTCCACCCATTACTTACCAAGCCTAATTACCAAAGAAATAAATTAAAGCTACACTAACCAAATAAATGAAAAAAAAAAACTTCAAATATTGAAATGTAAAGCATAGACATGCATAAAATAAGTCCAAATTTAAAATCACATTAATTAAAATATTTACAAAAAATTAAAATGTTAAATTCTAAGTTAACATAAATTAACAAACATGCATAAAATAAACTCAAGATTAAAAACTACATTAATTGAAATAAAAAAAAACTCAATATCTAACTTAAATATGAAATAAAAAAATTTTCTTTTCTTTTTTTATTTTTTTTATTATTATTATTTTTGGGTTTGGGCTGGATCGTCCGGCTCGAATTTCTCTTCTTTTTTTTATTTGCATGGATCGGACCGAAAGTCCAGTCCAACTCATTAACTCTGTGGGTTGGGCCAAGCCCAACCCACACCATTTAAAAAAACAAAAACCCAAAACCAAACCCAAATCCCATTTCAAGCATAACTTAGATCAAAAGCCCCTTTTCTTTTTTTTTTTTTTTAATCAATTTCCCTTTTCTCCTCTCTCTTTCCCGTTTCTCTTTCTTCTTCTTCTTCATCTTCTTCCCTTCTCTCTACCTAATCGCCATGGACGAACCGAGTTCGTCCCTATTTTTTTTCGTTTTCTTTCGTTTTCTTCTCTTCCTCCTTTCCCGCACCCCTCTCTTCTTTCTTTTCCTTTCTCTTTTCTCTCCCTTTCCTGTCTTCCCCTTTTTAATTTTTTCTTCAGGTCGCCATGGACGAACCGTAACGGTTCGTCCATGCTTCCCTTTTTTTCTTCCTCTTCCCTTCTTTTCTTTCTTTCTTCCTTATTCGTCTTTCCTAAAGCTCTAGATCGAAAAGCCCAAATCAATTTTTTTTAAAAAAATCCCTAATTGGCCGAACCCGAGTTTTGATTTTTCTTCCAAATTTTCTTTCAATTAGACCTAATTGACTTAATTTCAAGTGAAATCAAGTCAATTCAAACCCTTTAGGACTCGAAATTTTGAAAACCCCAAATCAATTTGTTCAAACAATTATCAAGAACCCTAGATTTAAATTGACATCAATTCGACTTCCATTTGGGGTTTAAACCCCAAATTAGAACTCGCAATTACCTTCAATTAGGTTTAATTTGTCATTCCCGAACTCAATTCGTAACCAAATTCAAAAACCCTCAAATTTCAAAACATAAACCTAACTTCGTCAAAATCGAAATCAACAAGAAATTAAATGGTATTACCTAGAAGGGTCGATGGAAACGGGTATGAATTGCGGCTTCAATTGGGGTAATCTCTTTCCCTCTTCTCGGATTTTTTCTTTTTGGCTACCGATTTCCTCTTTTTTTTCAATTTAAGGCTCTTAATTGTTTTACTTATCGACCCTTTTTTAATTTTCGAACTGAATTTTTGAAAATTTATGCTTCTTGCTATTTATATATATGTGTTTTTTGAATGCTTGGTTGGTTCTCCCACTATGATGGTGGGGGATTTTCTCGTAGTTTTTGGAGTGGGCATGTGTGACCATTTTAGGTTGTAGGGGATGGTTGTGGCGTGGCTGGTAATTAGGGAAAGTTGTGCGATTATTGCCGATTGCAGCATGGTGAGGTCTGCAGGAATTGGTGGATTGCACCTGGAGGTTGTTGGATATGGGGGAAGTGGTCCGGAGGGACCGTGGGAGCCGTAGCGTAAACAAGTGAGGTCGGCAGTGGGGGTGCTTGCTATTGTTGATCGGGTGATGAGGGAGAAATGGCAACTGCAGTTGAGTGAATTAAGTTTTACTAGGATTGGAATTCAAGCCCAAAATTGAGGACATAAATTGGTTCCTGCGATCGAAACCAAAATCAAAATCGGTTCCATGAAGCGAGAGAAAAAAAGTAATCCTAGAAATTAGTTACGGCAGAGTGGGTAGCTAGTCGCCCACTCCTCCGCAAACTTTTGTATTTTTTGATTTTTTGTAATTTTTTTTTTTTTGCATTTTGGTCACTATAAGTTGTTATTAGGTCAATTTGATCCTTGTCCAATGTAATCGACTCTTGAATTTTTAAATGATTTGATTGTATCCCTAATTACTATAATGATTTTGAATTTAATACAATTGCATCCCTAAAATGTTAAATTCACGTTATTTTTGTATTTTTTTCTTTTGCTTTTGCACATTATTAAGAAAAATGAAATAAATAAAAATAATAACACCGATTAAGATAAGAAAATAAATAATAAAAAATTAAAATAAAAGAAAACAAATAATCAATTAAAAATAAAAAATTCTAAAATTTTGGTTATGACAATAATAATAATAATAATAATAATAAATAACTATCAAAATAGTTACAGGAAAATGTTGTTTCCCTTCAACTTATATATATATATATATATATAGAAAGAGAGAGAGAGAGAGAGAGAGAGAGAATAAAACAAAATAAAATAGGGAGAGAAAACGGACAAATAAAAAGACTCTTGCAGTGCGAATACTAAAACAAATAGGATTATCTTAGAACTTGGATTATAGAAATAAAGACAATGATTTAATATTATTGTCTTGATCTAGGGAAACTATTTACAAATAAGTATTTCGATCCTAATTGTTTTTATTATTGAATTATTTATTATATCTTCATTGGTATGAGAGTCCGGTTTAATAGTTTCCATGATTATCCATAGAGTGTTATTGATATGTCGGTGTTCTAATATTTGTTGTTACATAATAATTCTTGAATATCATTGAATTATCCACTATTTTGATATTTTTTGTTAATATATCAATTTTTGGATATTTATCATTGTCAACATAATGATATTTTATTATTATCTACGTGATATTCATCTAAATCCATGTAATAATAATTAAAAAAAAAATTTCATGTCAATAAGACATGTATGGACACGACATAAAGAATTATGAATGATAATGATACACGTAAAAAGGCAAAGTACTATTAATTGTCATTCACAAAAGCAAAAGGCCTATTTAAAATGTCAAAAGTGAGACTTAAACCCACATCCCTTTGGATCGGATGCTCAATCCGATGCCTTAGACCACTCTGCCATGCTAACCTATTGAAATATTTGGTGGGCAAGTAAATATATTAATGTTTCAAAATGGATAAGCAAACTTTTTGAAAAACAGATTGTTGAGAGTGGGATTTGAACTCACATCATTTTGGATCAAATACTTAGTTTATCACCTCAAACAAACTCAGCCGACCTATCATGTTGGTTCAAATATGTTGGTAAATTAATATTATTCTAAGTAATCCGTCGGGAAAATAATCATGTTGATGATTGATTATTTTTGTGTTTAATCTTATGAACAATTTATGTATAGTAGTTTGAATTATATGTTTATATTTTTATTTTTATTTTGAATTTATATATACGAAAATATGCTATTTATGAAGCATTATATTTTTTTTGCTTCATAAATGTTTACCGGAAATTATGAGATAAATTAAAATGGTATAATTTTTTTTAAATTAAGTTATTAAAATAAAACATTTGAGTATGGATGATGATAGGGAATATAATGAACTCATCAATTACGTATCTTATGTTAGATTTTAATAGTTAATTTAAGAAATTAGTGAAACATACATAAATATTGATATTGCATGTAATGTCTCTTTACGATAATTGATTGTAAAAATGGTAACAAAGAACGTTATTGCTGACTTGAATAAAGGCGAAAAGCTTGATGGGCACAACTATAACATATTGCATGTTAAGATACAATATGTCCTCAAAGAGCAAGAGGCTTTAGAGGTGATTAATCATGATATGATTGAGCCTCAATCCGATGATGGGAAAAACCTTGTCCAAGTATTGTCGAGATATCGTAGCATATCGAGCTTGGGAGAAGGAAAATTCTATTACAAAAGAAATCCTAATCAGCTTTATGAAAGATGATCCGGTTTTCAAGTACCAAAATTATCCAACTGTTTATGAGATCTAGGTAGCATTAAGGAAGGAGTTTGGAGGGACCACTTTCTCTAAAATAAAGCAACCGATAATCAATTTTCACATTTATAAGAAGGTTCTAAAAAAATCTATGAAGCAAGACCTAAGGGACATGTCGAACATGATTGCGAACCGAAGCAAGTCGGGTATGTCTTGGTAGATGAATAGCAAGTATAGATCGTTATCCGATCTCTTCCTAATAATTGAGAAAATATGAAAGTGAACATAACTCATAATGAGAGTATCGGGATATTTGTTGACGCCGCTTGCCATATTGAGCTAGAAGATGAGCACTTTAAGGTAGTAAGGCCAAATGTACTAGCATATGTGGTTGAGTCTAGCTTTAAAAAATCTTCGGGTTTTAAGCATAAGTGGATTAGCAATAAGAAAAAAAAAGAGACTAGATAAGGACCAAAGAAGAGAATCAAGTTTTTTAAGCGCAAGAGAGGAAAGCGTAATGAAAAGAAAGATAAGACTAAACCGACCTACTAAATATATGGCAAATCGGGTCACTTCACCTGTGAGTGTAATGGGCCAAATGAGGTATTATCTTTAAACACCTATTCTACTAATGTTTATATTTCTAGTACTATAATGCTTGTTGAATCCCATCCTTTGTGGACTGTAGATTCAAAAGCCACTCATCATGTAGCTAGAGATAAAGATGCATTGATAGAATTTCATCGGATTCCAAGTGGAACCGGGTCACTTTCCCTGTGAGTGTAATGAGATGAAGGAGGTATTATTTTTAAACACCTATTATACTAATACTTATGTTTCTAGTACACTAATACTTGCTGAATCCCATCCTTTGTGGATTGTAGATTCAAGAGCCACCCATCATGTAGCTAGAGATAGAGATATATTTATGAAATTTTATCGGATTCTAAGTGAAACACAATGGATATATGTGGGTAATAACACAAGGGTTGAAGTGCTTGGACTTGGTACGTGCAAGTTGAATTTTCAAGAAGGAAAGACTCTATATCCGAATGATGTCCTTTATACTCTAGAGATTCAACAAAATTTGGTCTCTATAATTGTTCTATTAAGACTAAGATATGATTTTCACTTTTATGGTAATATTTTAGACATATTTACTCGGTTTTGTTTATTTAGGATATGGTTATATTATGGATGATTTTATAATATTGAACACTAAATATTATAATATGAATAATAATCTATGCTTTTCTATACTAACTAGCCCTAGCAATGATAATATAGATATTAATCTATGGCATGCTAGATTAGGGCATATAGGGTAAGATAGAATGAAAAGATTAGCTCGATATGGTCTTTTAGGATCTATCATGAGAATTGACTTACCATTTGTGAATATTGCTACAAGGAAAAGCAATTAGAAAACCATTTGGTAAAGCCAAGAGGGTAGAATTTCCTTTACAATTAATACATTTGGACATTTGTGGTCCCGTGAATGTTAAAGCTATACATAGGGTATCCTATTTCATTACTTTTATAGATAACTTCACTCGATTTGGTCATGTCTTTTTGATCTCCCATAAATCGAAAGTAATAGATAACTTCACTTGATTCGAACTATCTCCATTGAGCCTCTTCGACGGCACTAGCCTACGGGTTTTTCCCGCTAGCCATGGTTTGGCCTAACCCTTGGCTCGATACCACTTGTCACGACGTTAAGTCCTTCAAGCCCACAACCGCGACACCCACCCCGTTAACGATCCGCTGTAGCAGAGTAAGCTAAAAAACATCAACAAGGATGAGAATCAATTAAATAAAAGAATTACAAATTTAAGGATCGATAGAGGTCATGAGTATCTATCAAATCAATTTAAGGATCTTTGTAATGAAAAAGGAATAACTAGCAACTTATGATTCCTAGAACATCACAATAAAACGGTGTAGCGGAGTGTAGGAATTGTACATTATTAGACATGATTAGATCTATGATGGCATATGAAAATCTTCCAATTCAGTTTTGGACGGATGCACTAATGACTACGGCCTATGTACTTAATTGTATGTCTTCAAAAATAGTAGCCTCTACCCCTTATGAGTTATGGATGGACCGTAAATATAATTTGCATCATTTACATCCATGGGGATCTATCGCATATATTCATAATAATTCTCATAAGTAAGATAAATTAGGGCTCAAAAGAAAGAAATATGTCTTTATAAGATACTGCGAATACTCAAAGGGATACATTTTTATTGGTGAGGACTCCAATGGATGAACCACTAAAATAGAATCTTGAGATGTCACTTTTATAGAAGATTTTTTCCCTAAAAAGAATGAGATAGATAAAAAAACGATCTTCATTTTTTTAAGATAGAAGAAGATGATGATATGTCTAAAAGTTGATAAAAAGTTAATACTAAACTAGATGTGCAAGACTCTTTTCTTCTTAGTGGGAGTTTTGAAAACACAACACCACTATCTCAACCGAGTAAAAGGAATAAGAACAATCCAATTTTGATTGGTGTTAGTAACAATCCTTATTTATGTGAGAGCAATCGATCGAGAATTCATCAAAAACAATTTAAAATTGAGAATAAAGCCTACATTATAACCCCACAAGATGATGAAGAACCTATAACAGTTCAAGAGGCACAACATGTCCTACCAAAGAGAAATTGAAAGTTACAATGGAAGAGGAAATGAAATCCAGGAAACTAAACTAAGTTTGCGAGCTTGGTTGATCTTTCGCTAGGTCATAAAGATATTGGGAGTAAATGGATTCTCAAAATAAAACAAAAGGCTGATGGATCAATTGAATCATATAAAGCTTGTCTTGTGGCTAAAGATTTTACCCAAAAAGAGAGTTTAGACTATGAAAAACCTTTTTCCCTATTGTTAGGTTTACCTCGATAAGATTAATTTTAGCCATTATTGCACATTTAGATTTAGAATTGTATCAAATGGATGTAAAAATGGCTTTCCTTAATGGAGAGTTAGAGGAAGAAATTTATATGGAACAATCTATAGGTTTCATTATTAAAGGCCAAAAGAGCAAAGTTTGCAAGCTCCAAAGATCTATCTATGGTCCGAAACAAGCATCCGGACAATGGTACCTTCATTTTCATAAGGCAATAATGGCTTATGATTTTAAGATGATTCCTTAATGGAGAGTTAGAGAAAGAAATTTATATGGAACAATCTATAGGTTTCATTATTGAAGGCCAAAAGAGCAAAGTTTGCAAGCTCCAAAGATCTATCTATGGTCCGAAACAAGCATCCAGTACAATGGTACCTTCGTTTTCATAAGGCAATAATGGCTTATGATTTTAAGATGATTGAGAAAGACCATTGTGTTTATATAATAAGAATTGAAGAAAAGTTCATAACTTTATCTATATATGTTGATGATATTTTGATAGTTGGGAATGACAAAGATTTTATCATGTCTATCAAAGCATGGTTATATATAAATTTTGACGTGAAGGACATGGGTGAAACAAACTACATTTTGGGAGTCAAGATCACTAGAGATCATTCAAAAAAAATTTTAACTCTATCACAAGAACATTATATCCAGAAAATTCTAGAATGCTTTCATATGAGTAATTGTAAGTCCGTGGACACCCTTGTGTCAAAAGATAAGTCTTTAAGTAGTAAAATGTGTCCTAAAACTCCACAAGATAAAAAGAAGATGTCTAAAGTACCATATTTAAGTGCGATTGGAAGCCTTATGTATGTAATGATGTGTACTCATCTGGATATATGTTTTGATGTTGGTTTGGTTAGTCGATTTTAGTTAAATCCTAGTCAAGAACATTGGAAGGCTATTAAAAGGATCTTGGGTTATCTCATAGGCACTATGGATTATTGTTTGCATTATCAAGGGAGAAATTTACATTTGAATGGGTACTCGGATATTGATTGGGAAAGAGACCTTGATGAACGCAAATCCACTTTTAGCTATGCTTTTCTACTCAACAATGGCATTATCTCTTGTAAGAGCAAGAAACGGACTTGCATAGCTTTATCTACTATGGAGGCTAAATTTATAGCATGTTCAACTCGCTGTGCAAGAAGCGAGTTTGGTTAAAGAGATTCCTTGAGGATTTAAAAGTTAATAATAATAGCTTAGGGCCTATTACCGTCTATTGTGATA